ATTTGTATTCGTAAATAATATAAATATTTATTGTACCTGTACCTACTGTACTGTTCACGAAAAGAAATATAAAATACAGTATATAACACATAATAAAACAAGTTGGTTAACATGTTATGATACTGTAAGTAATGGAATTATCGTCACTTGCCTGAGCTGTTACAAGTAATCTTTGTCACTGCCTTAATACATACCTGTCCAATAATAAGGAAGGTGGCTTATACATGGAGGGCTTATATTTGGAGGGGCGGGGGTGTTATATTTGGACTGGCCTACAGCCTAAGCATTAGTAAATGTGGTGAACTTAAACACAAGGGGTTATATTGGGGGGGGGGGCCTAATTCAGAGGTTTACAGTGTGACAAAAAAGCAACAGAGAGATAGCGTTATGAGATGATATGATCATGGCTTAATATCCCAATGGTTAATACTGTAAGCTTGTGATGTCCAAATTTAAAATATGATATCCAATGGTTATGATTGTAAATTCCTGTGTATATAACATACTGTAGTTTTAAAAAGCCTTTGGAAATAGCACTGACATCAGTAATATTTTCAAAACACTAATTGAAGGAGGAAGAATTGTGTTCACTCAGTGTGACCAGATGTTTGTCAGCGGATTTTACTAAACCTTTGCTAAAGTTTTACTAAATAGGCCAACATTTTACCAGATTTGGATGTTACCCATCCCACTCCTGAGGGGGGGGGGGGGGTGGTTAATGGATAGTATTTTGTCTGAATCAGTTTCGGAGTCTGATTCAGACAAAATACTATCCATAAATCCATATTTTTAAATGTACGTTTGCAATTTCGAAATGAAATTCCTCAAATGCCCAATTTTCAGCTGCGCGCGCTACTTCATGTTATTCGTTCAATAGAGGTGACAAATTAGATGACGTAACCTGAAGCATGCAATGAGCAAACAGAACACAGGCTCCGATTCAGAAGTGAGCCATCGCCACAGCATCAGGAAGGCATGTACTTCGCACTTTGCAGGGTTTTCTGGTCATCATCAAACGTTTTACTAGAAATTTACCAAAAAAGTTACAAAATCCTTGAATTTTAAGAAATTTTACCAAAAAACTTTTTGACCAAATTTCTTTCAAAATTGTCGAAATTTTACCAAAAGTAAAAAAATATACTGAATATGGTCACACTTGGTTCAATGGAAACTTTTAGTGGAGTACGTGACACTCTTAAAATGATATACAGAACATATATACGATTCCTCTTCGTAGCTTTAATTTTAGAATTTTGTGATATATGTCACATGAAAACAATAGTAATTTTGATAGTTTGGCTGAGTTTTCTAGATCATGACTTGATTAATTATTGTGCAGGTGACAAATGAGCTTATGCACGTATCTTGTTACCTATAAGTGGTGCACATGTTATGTTTGACTTGTACAGTAATAATAAAAACTGGTAACTGGTAACTGCTGGACTGTGGAATATTGTTATTCAATAATAATAATACCAGACGTATAACTTTTACTCCCACAAGAGAGGACTGGGAGTACAAGAGACTTTTACTCCCAGTCGCTTGTACTCCCAGAAGAGAGTAAAAGAGACTTTTACTCACAGTCGCAAACTAAGAGTAGGAATTAATGGGTTTAACTTTAACTCAATAATAAAATTTAATGTTGGACAGCATGCAGGACTGCAAACAAGTTAAAAAAGTATGAAGTGCTCAAAGAAATATTTTCTTTGAATTTTCTTTAAATTTTGTGATAATATATGTTTAAATACATATGGCTAAAAACACAAGCATTAGTTTTTCAACACAATGCCAGATTTTTACTCCACATTTGGAGACAAAAAGATATTCTGTCAAATGTACACAGTAGTGCTCATTTCATACTAAACTACATTCCATTGCCCAAACAATTATATAACCATATAAGTTTCAGTATAGTATTTGAAATGATCGGAGGATGAAGAGCTTAAAAATTTCACATTGGTTATTGTCATGGTTAAATTTTAAAAAAATTCTGCATAATCGCATATACGCGTGTGTTGTCCCAGATTAATTTGCAGGGCTTTCATCCCCGCGATTCCGGTCCAGCGCTATAACCAACAAGTTTATGCATATATACTAGGGTACTGCCATGCATATGTTATGGGTAAATATCAATATTTTGTTGGCATCTCACTCTATTTTACAATTAGTTGCTGAAGCCGAGGTGATTAGAAGCCTATATTCACTGAGCCGAAGGCGAAGTGAAAATACTGTAGCCTTAATTTTCTAATCACCGAGCCTGAGGCGACTCATTGTTTTAGTATAATATATTATATATTAGTATAAGTATATATTAGTATATATTAGTATAATATGGAAACTTTATTACTTTCAATAATATATATACACACTACAATGATAAACCTCTCTTTACAGGTAGTTTACCAGTGTCTACTTGAATTAACACTCTACATAATAACAATATTAGTATGACATTAGTTGTGGGTTATCCCATTCTTTGTTACGCTTACAGAATATATAATACGAGGACCTGATACATATATTAATAATTTTCCGAACATAGTACTTTCTACATTGTTCATCAAACTTTAGATCTTTCAGCATTTCGGTGAAATCTAGCGACGGGTGGCTGAAAACTCCTAATGAGCTAATCGATAAATTCACAAATTTCACTTTTTCATAATTTTTGAGCTGTTCGTTAATTAGATCTTGATATTTTTGTCTTTTTTGAGTTGCATTAGTGAGGAGATTAGATTCAAATCCGACGGTAAGTTCAAGTATATAAATACATTTGTTTTCAAGTGTTATCAAAAGATCAGGGCGCAATTCATCTCCAGTGATAACAGATGGACTGATATAGCCAGGAAGGTCAGCATAAAGGTTACAATGGTTCACAGATTTAAGTATGGATGCTATGAAGTTAAGCACCGAATCATGACGCCACGTGAAACGTCCTTCATTTAGGTAGGTCTTGCATCCAGCGACGACGTGAAGAAGTGATTCTGGATTCAAACAAAACGAACATTCGGATGTTGGTGATATTCCCCATTTCAGAAGGTTTTTGCGAGTCGGAAGAGTGTTATTTATATACCGGATAGTGAAGTTAAATATATTCTTGGGAAGTCTACTCTGAACGGAGGACCATATAGAGTTGAATGAGAGTGTAGAATGTTTAATGATATTGGAGAAAAATGAGCCTTGTGAAATGAGGTGGTGTTGAAGCTTGTCTTCATGTTGTTTCCTGATGGTGTTTAATACGTCCTTGGTGTTTTTGTATTTGTCATATTGTACATTTTTGTGATTGCTAGTATCCTTCCAAAGGTTATTGATCGCTTCATTTGGCGACGACTTTAGGGCTTTCCGAGAAACAGTTTGGCATTGAAGGAATTTGGTTGAAGGTAGAATGATATTTAATCCAAATTTATTGTGGGGAAGTAGGACGTTACTAAGGGTTGCAGAAATAGGAAGTTCAAGCCATTTTCGGATATACGTGGACGCGATACTATCTAGTTTATCGTTAACCCAGGTTTTGCCTATGTCAGAAACAGTGAAGTGCCAAGAGATTTTGGAAAACACATAACGACTGTATAAGAGAATTTTGTTTTTCGGATGTAATGGTAGATCATCAATTTCATTCAGGAAATTAGTAAGTGTGTCATATACTTCAGATTTGTGATCTTCGTCGGACATGTTGAAATCAAAATAGCAACCTAAGTAGCGAAACGATTTACCAAGTTTAACACGTGGTACAAGACAGTTATTTATAAATAGTTTTGGGAGATATTGAATGGATTTGGTTACTTGTTTCCTAATGCCAAATGTTGAACATTTGTCTACACGTATTATCATGTGAGCCCACTGACACCAGATTGTAAAGCGATTAAGGAGCATTTGGTTTTCTTTTTCTTGGCCGCTAACAACAGCCGCGTCGTCGGCAAACTGGAACCAATGAAGAGGATTTAATGGGGTACCGTTTTCACTGGATTTCCAAAATCCAAGTTAACGGTATTTTTCCGATTTAATATGTTGGATAAAGGTATTGAAAGACATGTTGAATAAAAGAGGACTGAGACAATCGCCTTGAAGGACGCCACGACCGGCTGTAATGAAAGAAGTATTGAACTGTTCAGTTATTATGGAAGTTTGGAAATCAGTATAAAGGCTACTGACAAGATTCTTTATGTGATCGGGAATGTGGTGATATTGAAGGTCTTCATAAATAATATTTGGTGGACTTCGCCGAATGCATTTTTGAGATCTAATAGTGTTATGATAAGTGATCGTTGTTTTCCTAGCCTGCGTGCAGCCTGACTTTAAATGGGGAGAAGTCAGTCTGCGAATCAGGGAACAATACCGTGTTCGCGCCATCGTTTGAATTGCATGGATTTCTGTATTCAAACGTGATTGTCTATTGCTCAGAAGCCTAACACACACGCTACGATTGGCCAATTAATATTCGTTAATATATATTTGGTTCAAACAGCATTACAGAATGAAAAAAAAAATGGCGGACAAAGACCCAAAGAGCAATGTTGTGTATAATTTATGCACGTGCACAAACCCATACAAAATATTTGAAAGAGTTCTCATTGAGGTTCCCAAGACGCCATTTTGCTAAATATATTATTTTGTTGAACTGAATCTATTAACGAATGGCCAATCGTA